CAGAACTCGTTTCCTTCCTCTCCTCCCCCCGTGTGAAAATTTATGTTTTGAGATGAGGAATCGAGCCCATGCTGCCAGGTCAAAGCTCGAATATAACCCTTATTAACTGCCAGCGTTAATACGAGCCGTTAAACAAAATACGTAGTGATGGGTAGGGTGTCGGTTATGCTATTCTCGCTTGTAAGTGTCTGGTCACGCCATCTTTGTCTGTAAGTGTCGGGTTACGCCATTCTCGTCTGTAGTGTCGCGTTACAACATTCTCGTCTGTGAGTGTCGGGAATGGCATTCTCGTCTGAAAGTGTCGGGTCATGCCATTCATGTCTGTAAGTGTCGGGTCATGCCATTCATGTCTGTAAGTGCCGGGTCATGCCGTTCATGTCTGTAAGTGCCGGTCATGCCATTATCGTCTTTAAGTGTCGGTCCATGCAAGTTTCGTGTGGAGTGTCGCGTCACGCCATTTTGCACAACACCATATTTTTGTGCCTCTGCCAACTTAAATGCCAGAAAAACGACAACGTTTTGGTGACTGTAATCGGTCGAATCACCTAAATGTTTTGTTCTATTAATTACACCCCCCCCCCCTCTCTACACTTGTCCTAAAGTTCAGCTCCGCACTGGCTCGGGAGGGGAAGAGGTTATTCAAAACCAAAGTAGGTTTGGAAGTGATACATCCAATGAACAAGGTTTTTTAGTTTTGACACTGGTAACGCAATTCAAAGCAGCCGAAATGCGGGAGAAATCCGGCTATTGGAGTCGGTTAGACAAACACACAGGCCAACTCACTCACGTATTTAGAAAGCGCATGTTCCTTCCGTCGTCACGCATTCATTGCGGACAATATTTACATGGGGTTATCGGGAAAGCAAACAAAAAACCTCAAAATCAGAAGGCGTGAATAACCCCCTCCCCCCAAAAGGAAAAATACGGTTAAGAAACGTGGATATAAACCAGTCGGGCTTAATGTGTAGCATATTCTACAGGCATACAGAAGCTTTAAGGTGAGAAGGGGTGAATACAATAAAACGGTAAGAAACGCGGATATAAACCAGTAGGGCTTATCGTAGAACATTCCACATGCTATCTCGGAGAAGTGAACCCACACCCTGGTCGCTGGTCAGAGAGTGCAGCACTCGGCTAACAGAGCTGCAATGACGGCTTTGGCTGGTTGTGATGGACCATGTCATTGCACAACCTGTAGCCTTTCTCACAAAGGCAGTTTTTTGTACATTTGTATTTTAGTTTGTAAATTTGTATGTGTAGTTGTAAAAATGTGTTTCATAAAGCAGAAACCTACAAACAACAGCTACAAATTCCAGCCTACAAAACCACACACAAAAATTGACAAATCTCTCCAGAATTTCTACAACCTTACCTTGGTATGTTTCATAAATGCCAGCTGATTTTCCAGCCGCGGTGCATTTGTAGTACTAAAAGTACAAATTACAACTACAAATCAACGATGGCCTACCCCGTTGTAGAATAGGTGATCGTAAGCGTAAGGCAATGCCACCAGCGAAAATAGATTGTGAACGCAAAGCTCGCAGAAGAAGGAGGCTTGCAAGAATCCATCGGGGCAAAATAAGCAAGCATTCAAAGGAAGTGGAAGGACAAGCAAGCTCGCAGAACACAACGCTCAGAGGAAGCAACCCAGTGGTAGTGTTAATGGATTTAATGATTTGTGATTGGGTGCGATGGACTGTGTCATGGCACAACCTGCTGATGGCGTTCATCGCGTACGTCTCAAACGATCCTCTGACCCATGGGCCCTGTGACCCTTGCCCTGTGACAAGGAACTGATACTGTGACCCCTGACCTGCCGTGTACCTTCTGAATGTGAATTTTAGCCCTTTCCCTGAGCCCTGTACCCTCTGAACTATCTGTCTGCCGCAGAGGTACTGATGGAGTCACGCGCACCTGCATAGGTGCCTATCTGGGCGCTGGGGGTGAGATTGGGCATGACATCTAATCTACTGAGTACCACTAGTGTGGAAAGTGGCAGGTTTTGAGGCGTGTTGGAGGATAAGCCCAGGGCGTAAAATCGGTGCCGTTTTGCATCAAATACGGTTTTTCTTGGCCTATTCAAAAGAAAAACCGCTCGCACTCCACGAATATCAACATTGGTGCGGTGTGACAAACCTGAAAGTTTATCATTAATCCGCGTGCCAAGGACAAATTCTGTCAGCAACAGCTGATTCAAGAGATTCGCTCTTCGACGACACACTCTAATGAACATACTTGCGTTGGTGATTGGTGGGTGAGGCGTGATGTTTTGCTGTGTCATCATAAGCCATCAGGGCTGCTCTGTTTCAGCCACGTAATATCATTTTTCGCGCTGCTTTTGCCCCTGAGAGCTGGCGGGAAACGTACAGGCAGGAAGATAGCTTCCTATTCAGCTTGGGAAACTCAATTCCTGCAAGAACTTCGAGACCACAAGGGATCGAATACGAAAAAAAACCTGCATTTTGTGTATCTTTGGGTAGATTTGCCAATTGCCTCTGCTTAGTAGAAGCATTCACATTGGGATGGATTGAGTTTAAGGTTCGTTGATGTGGTGATGATTACATTAAGCTTAGGTTGATGATCATGTCGATATGACAATTGTGGCGCTATGCTGTTGAGCCTGTGATGACGCACAAAGAAAGTTAGATAGGAACACAAAATACGTTGTGAGGGCGTGACTGTGATCGATGATAAAAGCGTATGATGCAACGCTGTCTGGAAAAAATAAACAAAACCCTAAAGTGGTTAAATACATTTAAAAGCAAAAACAGAAGCGGTCACGAGCGATATTTCCTTCGCCTCATCCGCTCGGTACCAACACTCATTCCAAGCCAGCCGTAGCAACCGCTTCCCACCTGTTTGCGGATTTTCGAACATTTAGATCCTTACCTATGGAAAACCGTCAGAGCAGGGGAAGTCAAATCTGCTTTTCTGCATTGATGGTTGCAGAATTAGTGTAAACGGATCTAACTGTGGCTATGTTGTAAGCCAAGTGAGTAAAGAAATGGCTACGTCACTCCGTAAACAACATAGATCGGCCGCAGTGCCCGAAGTAAGCCGAGAGTATTGGAGCGTATACGATGCACCTACTGCTTTTCGTTTTGACGTCAGAACCCTTCAAACAGATAAAATGCAAGTTCAAGGACAAGTACGTAGTGTGGACCAATGCGCTGTCTATGAACCATTGAGTTATGCCAACACTGACAGGCCCACAGTCACATCAGTGATGCACTTGTTTAATCCAGTAGCACTGACTGACTGCGACTGGGAAACCTGCACCCGCCACCAGTTACATAATTTTTTACGATCATTTCTTTTGAAGTAAACTTGTTTGCGTGATCAAGAACGTGTCAGATCGACTTTTGGCCGTGGTGGTCCGTACAATTTGACAAGATTGCGATTGTTGGTGACAAGCTCATCTGTCTGTAGCCGGTGCGCTGTATGTTGATTGGTTGCTGATTGCCTGGAGCCGGCGCGCTGTCTGTCGTCTGGTTACCGGTTGTCTGGGGACAGTGCGCTGTGTGTTGTCTTGTTGCCGGTTGTCCGCAGCCAGTGCGCTGTCTGTTGTCTGGTTGCCGGTTGTCTGGGGACAGTGCGCTGTGTGTTGTCTCGTTGCCGGTTGTCTGGAGCCGGTGCGCTGTCTGTTGTCTGCATGCCGGTTGTCCGGAGCCGGCGCACAGTCCGTTGTCTGGTTGCCAGTTGCCTAGAGCCGGCGCACAGTTCGTTGTCTGGTTGCCAGTTGCCTAGAGCCGCGCGTCAGGATCGCCACGGCGCGGCAGCCTGGCTCTGTTTACGGTCTGCAGATGCTTACGTGGCCCGTCCCGTGACCTCGGTCTAGGCTTGGCCGGCAATCGCCAGCGACGCTGCGGGGGATGGGGGGGGGGGGGGGGGGAGGGGGAAGGGAGGAGGCGTCAGCAGCTGACCCAGGTCACGCACGCAGATAACGGCCTTGATCGCACAACAGCAGCCAACTGTGCCGCAACATACGGCGTTAAGAGACACTTAGAATGCAGCAAGAATCAAAAGATAAACGCAAATAGACACACTTTCAACGAGAGGCATTCATAACAAAGCCAAAAAATATGGCTATTTGTTTTCTTTTATAATTGCCAGGGGCTGCAACTTAAAATGTTGAAACAAGGCGCAAAAGACGCATCACTTAGCAGCTTTATTTACCACGCGATGGTGAGAGAGTCGGAACGGCGGCCCAACCTGTGTAGTCGGTCTCGATAAATGATCTTTAAAAAGTGCAGAAGACGATACAGATCAAATTTCCCACACGATGTATTTTTGCGTTATTTTTGTATGTTTTGAGGGTCTTTTAGTGATACCGGTAAAATATTGAGGGGTGATGCATACATTGGGGGACGGGTGGGGTGGTGATAATCTCTCAGAGAGGGTAAACTCAGGCTCCAATACAAAACTCCGCCTTTACTAACTCGATAGTAATGTCGTGGGCCTGCCTGACGCTGAGTGCTAGCAGTCTATGGCCCTTCTTTTTCGCCCGAGTGCACGATGAGCGCCCTGTAGCGGCGGCTACGTGAGAACCGTGCACAACTCGGCACCAAAAACAATATTTCCAACGAATCGACAGAAGCAAAACACACCAATCATGCCTGAGCGACGTCCCAGCGTTTCGACTTATCACGCCAAAAGCTCCCAACCCCATGTGCCGTCGGTATGGATTAACGCGCGCTCGGTTGGGGGGTCAAATTGACTCCCCAAAGGTTTTTCAGAATGGGTTCCGAACGGTGTGGCGTAGCCGCGCCAAATATTGCATAGCTGTCGACAGTTGAATAGCGGATCGTTGGGCATCACAAATTTGGATATAACTTGTAAGGTCGTTGACCCATGGAAGGTCAAAGTCAGGCCATGGTTTCAACGAAGGCAATTTCCAGAGGATCGTCCAATCTGATACAACAACGAAGTGCTAGACGAAGTCATACATCTCTGATATGCTTTCTTAGGCAACACAACAGTTGAATGCAAAAATTCCATCGACCTAAGGTCAGGTATAAAGGTCACACTAAGGTCAAAAGCAACCTGTTTTGCTACTCTAGTGCTTGCTGTATGGGATAGTTTCTGGTGCTTATTTCGAGTTTATCATATCCCTAACTTTCCTTAACATTTAACAATTTAACATAAAAATTTCTTTATTTGCTTGTCTCTATTCCAACGGGGTGGCCCAGGGATCCCTTGCCGGCCCAGTCATGTTCCTCATCTTCATCAACGACCTATCCAGCTTCCTACTCTACGACCGCCTACAAACCGACGCCGATGACACCCAACTCCTTGACTCCGCTACCCCGCGATGTCTTCGGCCTGTCCAATCTGAAAGCACGTGTCGAAAAGTGTATTCAACGCCTTTAAAACTGGTTTCAGTCAAAAAGCCTTAAGATGTACCCCAAAAAGACGGACTTCATACTGATCAGCATTAAGTCCCCTATCACAAAGACCAACAACTTCCACATTACCATCTCCGGCACAAACCGTCATCCCCACATCCTCTTCTGCCTCCACATCCTCTACATTTGGGGTGGAGCCTCCGAGCTTCACTTAGACGGGGTGAAAAGCGAATCTCCCAATGCCCTGCGTGTTCTATTGGTAACGCGTGCCGAGTCTTCCAATCGCCAAACTTGGGCTGTTTCGGGCGGTGTCGGCTGGCTACATCTGCCAGGCGTCCGGCTGAGTGCCTCCTTGCAACAGTTTCTGTGCCGCGCCTTTAGATGGGTTCCTATTCCTTGCGTGGCTAGGCACAGAACAGCCACTACGTGGATGCACCTTAACTAAACTAACTGTAACTGTAACTGTAGCTGGATTCTTTCCACCATCTCTCACCAGCAGATGTTCACATCACGGTACTGCTGGTAAATTACGTACCGGTTTGATGGCGTGTGTAGCGTGTTAAGAAGTTCTTAACTGGAAGTGACGCAGCTTTCGCTCCTAATGAAGGTGTTAAAGCAAGGCTCTGCGTGCCGGGCTGACAATGATGGGTGCTCCTAGTCACTTGTAAATGGGTGATATCTGGGGAGAACAAAATGTGACCAGGTCCTGCTGACTCACTTCAGCGCACTCGCCGTCGTCGGAACTTTTGCTTTATCTCACCGACCGCGAATTCAGCAGACATTGTACCTATGTGCTGGCTAAGGTGCGAGCACCACCGACTCTCTTTTGCTGATTGGTGAGGGAGATGCAATCAATGTGGGGAACAGACATGCAAGCATTAGGTGGTATCCCGGTGCTTGAGAGGCTCAGCTCAGGTAGGTGCGTAGCCGCCGCCTCATCGCTAGTCACGTGGCTTGTAGGTCATAAAGACTAGTCACGCGGCTTGTACATCATAAAGCCTAACCACGCGGCTTGTAGGTCACGAAGAACTCGGGAGGCTGCTGCACGATCGCGAACCTGGTCTCCAGCGGGAGTTTCTGCCCCGGAACGGCGGTGAAGCTAAAACGCTGCAGCAGGCAGGTGAAGAGGATGAACATCTCCATGCGCGCCAGCGTCTCTCCCAGGCAAAACCTCTTCCCGATGCCGAATGGGATGAGCCGCTCATCATGGCGCACGCTACCGTCCGCGTGCAGGAACCGGTCGGGCCTGAACGCCTCCGGGTCACCCCAGTACGCCGGGTCCATGTGCACCATGTCCAAGTCCATGATCACCGTGGTGCTCTGGGGGATGGTGTAGCCGCGGAATGAGAGGTCGCTCAATGCACTGTGCGGCACTGCGTGAGGGAGGACGTTGGAACGCCGCGTCACCTCCATCAGCGTGGCCTCAGTGTACGGCATGCGCATGCGGTCGCCGTAGGTCGGCGGACTTGCGCCGAGAACAGCGTCGATCTCGCGCTGTACGCGATTCTGCAACTCCGGATACTTGACCATGAAGAGCAACGCCCAGCTCAGAGAGGTGGACGTCGTCTCCATGCCGGCGACGAAGAAGTCCATGCCGATGATGGACAGGTTGCGTTCGGTAAAGAGGCGAGCCTCAGCGTCTGGCTTCTCCATCTCCAGCAGAAACTGGTCGACGAAGTCGCGGGGGCTGGAGCGGTCCAGCGTCTGCCGATGCTCGTGGACCACCTCGTGGAACATGCCGATCGTAGTATCGCGATGTCGGATCAGCGGCCCGTAGCCGCTCCACTCGGGGGCGATGTGACGCAGCCACGGCGCCAGGTTCATCGGGTTACCCGGACCGATGGTAGTGACTAAGTCATTGACCGCCGCGATGTAGTGTTGGGCCTTGGGATCACTACTCTCCAGCCGCTTGTCGGCGACCAGTCTCCAGAGTATGTTCAGCACCGTCAAGTTAAAGCGGAAGTTAACTTTCATCGGTGAGTCAATGTCACGTGTCATCTCCTGGGAGAGCTCTTCGAATTCGTTCAAAACTGTCGACTCCATGGAGTTTTTCCCGAGGCCCAGATCCCTTAGGTGCCTCAAAGCAAAGCGCCTGTGCTCTACCCAGGAAGGGCCTTCGTTCATTATGACACCCAGCTTTTGTTGGAAGCTGCGGACTAGCAGAGCAAAGTTGTTCGGTCTTCCAGACAGCTCGTGCATCGCGCAGGCCTCTTTGATGTCTTCGAACTTGCGAATGTGCACAATCTTGTCACCCGTAGGAAGCACGAAGCCAAGAATATCTCCAAACTCGTGCTGACAATGGCTCATGCTCGCAAGAAACTGGCCCCGAATCCAGTCAATCACCGTCCAAATATTGCCAAAGATGAGAAATGTTGGAGGGCCTGAAAAAGAACGCATTTCTTAGTCTCAGCCAATCTCATTTTGAGCCATTCGGGGATGCGTCTCACCGGATGTGTCCTCAAAATCTGGGCCATGGTTGCAGCGTCGTAGCATATAAGGAGGCTAGAAACATTTGTGCATTTAAAATTAGTATAGGTTATAGTGCCACGGCAAGAAATCGACCATGGTTTGATAGAAGGTAGGCGTATGCTCACGGCTTGGATAAATCCATGAGCTCTGAAATAATGCATGGGTTAAGCTGTCGTGAATTGGTGTTTCCTAAACGCATGTTGAAATGGATAAGGCCAGTACAAATCGATTGGAATATGTTTAATAATTCGACACCAGGTATAGGAGAAGTAAATGTTTCATGTGTACTATACTTCGCCCCAAGTAAAGTGTAACATAAACAAACGGGCACGTTGCAATTAAAGGCAGCTTCCTGGGAAACTCGCTGATAAAGTAGGCCTGCAGGTGGTGCATGAATGCAGATTATTTCGCAAGACATCTCCACTTTGATTTCTTAAGCAGCAATGGATTTGTATTTTTTGGGGAAAAGTTTTACCTGCTACGTCAGAAGCAATACTTCATGGCACATCAATAAAAACCTGGGAATTTTGAGCCACACATTTTCGCCGATGCCTGTCCATGAATACGGACTTGTGCGACTACGCAATGAATACCCAGTGCAACCCACAGGGCGTGGGGATTATGTTGAATGGGCACCCTACAATCAGATGGTGTGCTCTCTACAAGCCCCAATGGGCCCTATTCAGGTCAAAATGTGTCCTCCGTAGGTCAGAAATCGCCCTCTACAGGCCGGAATGGGCCTTCATGGGTAGAAGTGGTTCATTGGAGGCCTTAAGTAGCCCTCAACGGTTCATGATGAGACGTTCCCAAGCCAAATTGGGAATTCAACAGATCAGAATGAGCCATCTAACAGAATAGAATGTTTTTCGAGTCAATGATGAGCTCTCTGCTAGGGAGAGCGGCCTCCACAGCTAATTATCACACCTTTACGGGACAGAAAATGCCCATTCTAGGCCTGAATGGGCCCCTGCACATGGAAACGTAGACCCTGCATTAGTCCAGAATGAGCCTTTTGCAGGCAAATATGAACAGCGTACTCGTCAGTCCACACGCTTAGAATGACCCTCTTTCAGTCGAAATAAACCTGCATAGGTCTGAATGAGCCCTCGACAGATCAGAATGAACTTCCACGGACTTACCTCATCCCGTAACAGCTCAGAATGGCCCTTGCAACAACACAAAGGCACTTAGTATACCATGATGTACCAGAATTGGTCCTCCACAGACTCTACAAGATGAAGGGGGCACCTCCAGCTTTCAAGAAAAAGGGGAGCGAGCTTCCCCACTATCTCCCTCCCCTTCCACAAACCTCTCCCCCACTCCGCTAAGTTCTCGCGCCTTCGGTCACCCAGCAAGCTGTGTGGGCGCAAATACGTACCCGGCGGAAAGTTGGACGGTCGCTGCGGCCTCCGAATCCACAAGAACGCCGTCACCAGCAGCAAGAACACAGCGAGAGCCCACATGACAGCGAGTACAGGCCGCGCCGCCGGAAACCGCTCAGCCGGTGGCCTCCCAGCGCGCGCAGGAATCCACGACTACCCGATGTCTCCGCGACACGCTCTCTCTCTCAGAGCCCCGGTTCTCGCGCCGGGCAGATCCCCTGTCCTTGGTTTGCAGACGTTGCCAGGGAGTGCGTTGCCAGATCGAGGACAGCCAGTGGTTATCGGCCGGCCACTGGCATCGCCGCGGCCGCGGAGGTCGCTATAACTTTGGCGGTTTCTACACATCTCGTGGTAATCTCATGTTATTCAACTATCCATTGCCGTGAGTTACCCTATGCTCTATCCGTCACCAAACTACCACTAGATGGGCCATTGGAGGTACGTCGTTCAAGAGCTTCAGAGATAACAGCTTTTGAGCTCGGAATACAGGGATCACTGTATGTGACATTTCCTGTTTCATTTTTCCTGGTATCTTACAGCCCGGTTAAATTTCTGATTGACTTAGCAGAAGCGTTAGCACGTCTGAGTGAGAGACAGATGGCAGCTTCGCCCTGAGGCCGAGCAGATCTTTATTCGAGTGCCACGGGTTCGGGTCGCTGCCGGTCCACGTCCGCTAAGTCCAACACAGTCAACACTGTCCGTTCGCGTGGGTCCGCTCGAAAGCCTCCAGGGCGCATTGTTCTAACAAGGGCCGCTGCCATCCACGACTGACATACAACGGCTGGTGGCCACCGCTTGTCAGTCATTCCCAGCGATCCCTTTCTCGGGCTCTGAGGCGGAGTCTGAATGTGATTCGAAAAATCTGGGCCGTTGCTCTGGTTCAGACTTGATCCTCGATGCGTTTTAAAAACCTGAGTCCGGATACCTCTGTTACGTTATTTCTTAAATTCAAACATGCGTCAAATCCTTGGAGATTGAGTTATGTCCGAGTATAGCCCTAGAGCCTAACTACAAGTGTCTCGGTTCAATACGAAATCACGACCGACAAATTAAGTAACATGTCACATTGTTGGTGCCAAAAGTTATCGAGAATTGTATTGTTTTGAATATTTAACCCATCCATGCAGTATGACTTTTCAGGATTGACGTCATCATGTAAAAGGCATAATACAAATGGTACAAAGAAAGGCAGACAGGTGTAGCGTGTAATCGTCACGCGTCCGTAATGCACCGTTGTCAACGTGTCAGCGGGACTCTCGCCACTCGCTAACGAACACAAAGCACTTAGAGTTACACCTTTGAGGTGATGCATTGCCTTGTTTTTTTTCTTTTTATGCTATTTATTGGATATGCCGGATGTGGGTACCCATTGCCGTAGTTGGTTTATGCAAGGATTACGACATATCGCGCCTCTGCTGCTTCATGTTGGCTCACACGCGCATAGAATTGCGCAACGTCAAATGTTTGAGAACGCCCCATCCCCAGTGTTTAGAGGCCGCCCGCCGGCGCCGCCCAGCGGCCCTGTCGTTTATAACCTGACGCATCCTGCGTAGCGTCAGACGGACAGTTACGGTCAGACAGAGGCAGACGCGGCCCGACGACCAGGGTGGCGACGCGGTACTGCGCGAGCGGACCACGACCGAATATAATTACCTTTTCACGTCCGTTCTCTGATGGACGTTTGTGAGAAAAAGAACGCAAGTCACAAGAACGAAGCGTTATATTGGTGCCCAGACCCGTATCAAGGATCTGCGAGTTATCAACGCCGAAACATCCTCTCGTCTCACAGCAAGGTACGGCTATCGAAGTGCAGGTTCCAATCCACACGAGCCACACGAGTCGGTGGATAACGGGCAAAGAATTGGATTTTCAAGGTTATGGTACCTGTGCTTGCTGGAAGCTATTGCAAGACAGCTTCCCATCTGACCAGACCGATCGTTTGGACAAGCTGTGTGCCTGTCATTGCACATATTTAGAAAATCGCCGGAAGAAAAGGAAGCATTTCTGCGCTTGCCACAACCTCAACAAGCGATATTTTTGCCAACGGTGTAGCATTTGTCATACTTGCCATTGTGACCATATCAGTACCTCCTGTTACGTCTACTACCGTTGCGCATTCCTTGTCTCCAACGCTGTTGTGGTTTCTTCTCGGCAAATCCTTCCGCAGCAGACCTTGATAAGCTGATTGAAAAAACATTATCAAAAAGCCCAACGTCGCTGCACGACATATATCGGACAGCTCCAAAATCCTACCCTTTTCCATCCAGTCTATCAAGCTCCTGAAGTCTCGTTACTTGGTGAAGAAAACACGAAGAAAACACGGAAAACATAAGTATCGCTACGGGGAACGGAATATCTATCCTCGTTGAAACCAGGCCCCAAGTTCTGTAGAGACGACCCGGCACGACCTAGGTATCCGTTTACTGAAGACCATAGGCCCATCTGTCATTTTCGCCACATTCCAGGCGGCATTCAACGTGTGTGTCGCAAATATGCCGCACAGCTACGTAAACAGACCCCTCAAGCAGATGAACGGGAACGTTCGGAAAACTCGGAGGACCTCCATCCAGTCGAGCAGGTGAAATTTGCAACATAGATGTGAACAAGAAATGTCCTTCAGAGACGTTTGCATAGGCAAAAACAGGCTTTGTAGTCTTTTGGATAGTGGAGCTCAGTTCTCGCTGGTGAGCGATGAATTCTTAAAATTATGTGACGACGTTTTGATAAAGGAAACATGTCAGAAATAGGTACCTTTAGTGTCTGCCTCAGGCCACCCATTTAAAAACACAAAATGGTAAAAATCCGAATTACTTTGGGTAAAATCGGTACGTGTCATTCATTATGTGTGGTCACCGGATTAGGGCACGACGTGATTTTAGGCGTGGACTTTTCAATGAAAGAAAAGCTGTCCTTGATTTCGATAATCAACTGCTGAAATTTGGAAAAACACTTTGTTTCCACCAAATCAAAAGCAAAACTGTCAACAAGGAGAACTTAACTTAGCAAGACTGTCAGAAAGCGTCCATCTGTATCCTAGATCATCAGCCAAAATTAAATGTCAACCATCGAAAAGTAAAACTGCTGGAAAACACTTCATTCTGACGCAACTTCCGTCTTCCCCATGCTTTGAAGATGAACCTGGAATTCGCTTCCCCATTGCAATGGTTCAAATGTCTAAAAACAAGCACGTCCCGTAGGCTATTGTGAATGAGACAGGCAGGCATTTTTATATAAGGAAAGGTCAAATTTTAGGTAAAGCGTTGAATTTTAAAAAAGAACAAATTAAAATCAGCCATGCAGAAGCAGAACAACTAATGGCATCCATAGAATCAAGCCACAAATTGAAAATTCTCAACTTTGCACACATTTCGGACGAAAATGGGCCTTGTTCTTGAACAGCTTTTAGAAAGAAACATCGATGTTTTGTCGTGAAAGATTCAGAGCTAACGACCACGTACGTTACCGAAATGGTAATAAACACTCAAAACAGCCCACCTATTAGACAAAAGCCATGTAGGATTCATCGTACTCAAAGTTAATTCTGGATAAACACGTCGATGGTATGCTAAAAGCAGGCATCATTCGCCGAAGCAACTCCCCATGCCTTTTACCCGAGATTGTAGTACCGAAAAAAGATGGCTCATATGGAATTTGTGTTAACTTGAGAAAATTAAGCGCTGTTACCGTAGTTCCAGCCTCCAGCGCACCTAACGCCGAAGACACTCTTCATTCTTTAGGCATGTCTAAATTCCGCACCTGTTTGGACTTAAAAGCTAGATTCTGGCAGTTTCAATCAAAGACAAAGATAAAAAACTGCTTTTCGGACATATGCAGGTGTTTTCGAGCACATGTACATGTGTTTTGGTTTAGCAGGCTCCCCAGCAGTCTTCCAAACTCTGATATATGCCGTTTTGAGCGATGTCAAACAATTGGCAGTTGCCTTCATCGACGACATTATCATCAATAGCGCGACCTTTCAGGATTATTTGTAGCATCTTGAGACAGTGTTTGACCGACTTCGACGCGCAAACCTGACCTTAAAATATCAAAGTGCGAATTCCTAAAGACAAGTTGAATTTTTTGGTACACATCGTATCAAACGAAGGAATAACCATAGATTCAAACAAAGTCAAAGTCATAGACAGCTTGCATTCACCTAGAAATCTTAGAGAAGTCCATGGATTTATTGAAATGACATCCTATTACAGAGAGTACGTGCCACAGTTCAGCAACTTTGCTAGACCCTTGACAGCACTCCCGCGAAGGAGCGCGAGATTTGAATGGAGTGATCAAACGCAACACGCATTTGATATCCTGAAGACTCGGTTAGCAGAAGCCCCAATTTTGACCTTTCCAGACGTCGCCCAACCGTTTTCGATATTTGCTGACGCCTCACAATACGCTTTAGGCGCGGTGTTGATGCAAAAACAAGGGGATCAAGATAGAGTGATGCAATACGTTTCTCATCAAATTGCTGATGTACAAAAGAAATGGCCGACTATAGAACGCGAAGCGTTCGCTATCGTCTACAGCCTACAAAACGTCGCCCTATCATTTTAGGAACCAAACTCACGATCTATACGGACCATAAACCGCTGAAACATATCTTCACAAGCGAAATGCAAAATCCTCGAGTGCAAAGATGGGCTATGATGATGAGTGAACACGGCTGCGATATCGAGTGTATCAGTGGTGCTAAAAATGTTACCACAGATCTTCTCTCTACACTTCCGAATTCGGAACAAGTAGAGACTTTTTCAGATGGCGAACGGCTAGATTGACATGATCAACAAGTTGATACTTAAGAAATTAGTGCAATTGAGAATTACCAGATACAGAACAAGGCAACAGAGGACGTTTTGTATTCCGAATGTGTTGCTATGTCTTTAACAGGTGCCGAGTTTGGAAATGCTCAAAAAGAAGATCCCTTGTTAGAAAAAAATCATCTAGTATTTACTTGACGTAGACGATAATAAAGTGAAAGGATATTGCATGCATGATGATTTGCTACATCATTTAACGTCAGGTACTAAAATACGTCCTTTGACCCGAGCTCAACTAGAAGTTCCTGAACAATTTAAATATACCATCCTTCGAGAGGCGCATGATGGATACTTTGGAGGCCAGTTAGTCATCTAAAAGACCACTGACAAGGTCATAAAGTC